AATTGTTTTATATAAATAAGTGTCATTGTTTGTCCCACGACATTTAAACGGAGAAAAGGCAAGGATAATAATAATAATAATAATTCTGTATTTAAAATTCACTTTTAAATCCCTTAAAATTGAGTCATCCTAATATTAACTTATTAAATTACAAATAATTAAATCACACAAATATTAAAAAAGATGCAAAATCATTATAATTAATAAATAACAAAAAATAAAAATACAAAAAACTGCAACAAGTAAACAAATAAAACAATATTAATGACATGCACTCGAAAACCAAAAAACAAAAAATTAACTGAATCAAACGTCAAAAGCAAATAAACAAGAAAATATTTGTATTTGTTTAAGATCAATAATAAAATTGCTGTTAAAAAACAATAATATCTTTTGATATACAATCACACAATTACAAACGAAAGTCAAATAGTGGTAACAATGAGGTATTGCCAAAAACAACTACAAAACAACAAATACAATTACAAAGTTACATATAACAACTGCAAGTAACAGCGTCGTCGTCATCAGCATTATCATCATCATTTTTTATGCCGGTCAATGGAAAATTTTTCAATAATAAACCTCAAAAAAAAGCGCAAGAAGAGAAGAGCAAAAACCAAAAAAAGAAAAACAGGTTGCTTTGTTAAAAAGTTCCTTTATTGAGTTCATAACAGGCAACAACAAAAGTAAAAAGTATCAAAAACCAAAAAAAAAAAAAAATTATTTAAATACAACTACATGTGTATGCATATAAAAAACACATAACCCCAAAAAATATATACATATAAACCAAGCCCCCTTTTTTATATAGCAACAAAATACTGGGTATAAAATTTAACTGTAATTGTGGTTTGAAGAGGCAAAACCAGAGAAGTGGTGAGAGTTTTTAACATCATGCAATTTTTTATTATTGCATGCGTATAAGTAATTTTTTTTATTGTATGTAATGATGAGTCTGTATTAGTAGGGCCTGCATTTTTGTTTGTAACAATAAAATCTCATGTTTAATTTAATGACGTGTAAATATGTATGTACGTGTGTGTTTACGCATTTATTTATGCGTGCTCTTTTTTTGCTACTAGCTGTTTATAGTAAAGCTGTAAACATTGTTTAAATTCCTAGCACTTGTTGCTCTATTGTTGTTGTGTTTTTGTACCTATTTTATTTTAATACTATTGTGTAAAATTTATGGTCTGGCCCCAAATACTTAACTGCGTTTGCCCCACATACGATTGCCTGTCAAAGGCAGAAGTTTAAAGGAAACTAATCAATCTATTAAATAGTAACAAGACTAGACAATAGGCAATAGACTTGGGAATTTGTAGTCAATAGCGTATTTGAGACTAACCAATAAAGGAGTTAACAGCCTAATCCATAAAGTAGTCAACAAACTAAACCATAGGTAGTCGATATACTAGTCACATACTAATCTATATATTAGTCCATAGTCTACATAGTTTTGTCTATCTGGTAATCTATAATTTCTCCATAGACTAGTCAGTGGTCTAGACTAGTAAGTAGACCAGTCCATAGACTACTCAAAAAACTTGTTAATAGTATAGTCCATAGATTCATAGACTAGTTTATCTAGTCCATACACCAGTTCATAGACAAGTTCATAGGCCAGTTAATTGACTAGTCAAAAGACTAGTTAATAGATTAGACAGTAGACTAGTTCACAGACTGGTCCACAAACTAGTCCACATAATAGTTAATAGTATAGTCAATGATCTTGTCTACGGACTAGTCCATTACACTAGTTAATAGACTACACCATAGCCAAATACATAGACTAGTCTATATAGCAGTCCATAGACAAATACATTGACAGTTAATTGACTAGTCAATAGACTAGTTAATAGATTAGTCATTATACTAGTTCACAGACTGGTCCACAAACTAGTCCACATAATAGTTAATAGTCTAGTCTATGAAATTGTCTACAGACTAGTCCAATAGACTACACCATAGCCAAATACATAGACTAGTCTATATAGCAGTCCATAGACAAATAAATTGATTAGTCCATAGACTAGTCAATGGTATATACAAGGGTATAGTTCATAGTTTAGTCAATAGACCAATTTGTCAGTAACTAGTCCATATACCACTTAATAGTCTAGTCAATAAACTAGTTAATGACTAGTCCTCACACTAGTGCATATAACCAAGTCAATAGACCAGTTCATAGACTATTTACTAGACAAGTTCATCGATCAGTGAATGTACTAGTTTATAAAATAGTTCACAGACTAGTCCATAGACCAGTACATAGGCAGTCAGTGGTCTAGTCCATAGAATAGTCCACACTCTAGTTCATAGAATAGTCGACAGACTAGGTTATAGACTAAGCAACGATCTAGTCCTTAGACTTGTCTATAGAACAGTCCATTGATTTGTTAATAGGCTAGTTCATGGACTGGTCCCAATTAAACTAGTCCATTATTTTAACATGGTGAAGACATTGGAGGCAAGTACTTACCATGATTGTTTATAAGTATGGTATTAGGAAACTATATACTACGATCGCCTGCAAATAGGGAGTTTAGTCCGAGAGAATACGTCCACTGCATCTACTACACAGAGGTAAAAATAAATATACACGCCTGGTATCAAATTAACACCAAATTTTTCAATAACATCTGTTGTCAAATATATACATACATACAACAACAACAACATGTAATGTTGACCACGCACCGTTGTCAACAACGTTATAAGCTCAAAATCCGTTGTCAATAGTGAGCTTACCACGTTTGTTAACTTTAGACAACGGATGTGCATAAAATTTAGATTGTGACAACGAATTATTGCAATGTTGACAACGTTGCGTGGTCAACATTAGATGTTCTTGTATATACTTGACAATGGATGTTACTGCAAAATTTGCTGTCTATTTGGTACCAGGCGTGTATATTTTTTTCCCTCTGTATATTAGTTTTTTCAAATAAAATTAATTTTTATAATTTTTGTAAAAAAACATACTGTTGTAGCAGTCATACAGGCAGTATGTAGTAGTCATTGAAAAGTAAGTTCTTGAGTAATTACAAGTCATTACCATATTTTTGCTGGGTATGTAATCTAAGAATCAATGAGACCTTCTCTGCATATTTTTTATTTAATAAACTGAACAGACAACAACAAATAACAATACATATTTATCACAGACCAAATTTATCGCCATTATTTTAAGGAGGCTCTTTTAATAAAAAATTTAATTTACTCAAGTTTTTTTTACCGAAAATTTTACTGTTTGTCATTGTTTTTTTTTTAAATATTTATTTCACATTGTTTAATTTGTCTGACTTTTGGTCTGGCTTTTTGCCTTAAACATTTGTTTACACAATAAATAATAGCTGGTTGTCAAAATTGACAACAAAATTTTGTTGTTAAACAAAAAAAAAGGACAGTTTATCATTTTTCCCATGGGAGTTGTTAAATCGAAGATGGCAAACCAAAATTAAAATTCAAAATTTATTATTCTGTAAGCAGAAGTGTTAATTTCATTTGTTTGTCCGTTTTGTAGGTTTGTTTTCATATTTTTGACGTTGCATTCGTTCGTTTATCAGTCTAAATGTTTGTTTACATTTTGATATTGTTTTTGTATTTTTAAATTGTTTGTAATTTTTTTTTAGCATTTTATTATTATGTTTATTTATTTTTTCATTTTCATTTTAAAATATAAATCTTATTTTCAATTTTCATTACTTTTAAATGTGCATTCTGAACTGAACTTGCAAGATGAACACAACAACAATAACAACAACATTCAACCATAATTCAAATTCAAGTTCACGGCCATCATTTGCTTACTCATCACTGTCATCGACTTTTTATATATTTAGATGTATGTATGTACTATGTACGTAAGTACGAAACGAATGAAAGATACAACAAACAAAAAAATACAATAATAACAAATACGTTGACTTAATTGATTTTTTTTTCGCCGTTTTGTTAATTTATGCAAATTTGTAAAAAAAAGATTATAAATTAAATTAGTATTAAACGGAGGTGAAATTTGCAATTTGTGTTTAGTACTTTTTTGGTACTTTCTTGTGAAATAAAAACATTGTTTTTATATCAGAACCTTGAAATTTTTGATGATCGAACAGACAACCGGCTTTAACAATTTATCAGTACACAGAGGGAAAAAGAAATATACACGCCTGGTACCAAATTGACACCAAACTGTTTATAATTTTTCAATAACATTCGTTGTCAAATACGTACGTACAAATACGTACGTACAAATACGTACGTACAAATACATACGTACGACAACACTATGTAATGTTGAAAGCGTTGTCGTTGTTGAAATCTAAATTTTATACACATCCGTTGTCTTAATAATAACAAACGTGGTAAGCCACTATTGACAAACAATCCGTTGTCAATAGTGAGCTTTCTTAGATTTCGACAACGAATTGTTGCAATGTTGACAACGTTGCGACATAGTGTTGTCTTACGTATTTATATACTTTGACAACGGATGTAATTGAAAAATTATAAACAGTTTGGTGTCAATTTGGTACCAGGCGTGTATATTTCTTTTTCCCTCTGTATAAAGTCTCATTTTTAAAAATAAACATGTCTGATGCATAAATACCATTTAGTACCACTTTATCCCCTTAGATCATATTTTTATCCCTCTAGATCATATATTTTGGGCGATGACTTTAAAATAAAAGTTTAATCTCTATTTTATCTCCTTATGGAATCCAGTTTATTCATATTATTAGCAAAAATTATGTTAGAAGTTCTTCTTGGTACTTTTAAAAAAGTACCCAAGAAAGTACTAATCAATTTTAAAAATTCCCTTTTAACCATAACCAATGATGTTTTGTCTTCAGTGTATAAAATTTTAATTAATTTTAAGTATAGAAAATATTCCTAAAAAACTCTGGAACTTTTACGTTTTGGTACTTTTTTTTTTGGAACGATTTTGATTTTTCTTTTATTATAAAAAAAGAGAAATAGAAATTTCCTTAACTCACCTTCCAGCCCGCACTACTATTCGAATCACCTTTGTCCTTAAAATACGGTACATTATGTACCATCCATTCATAGATCTGGCTCAGGGTCAAACGTTTATCAGTGGCAGAACCAATGGCATGTGTTATAAGATCAGCATAAGATAAATTGCCCCAGGCATTACGACGCGATGAATTCTTTTTGGCGGCACTCACATTAGGAACAGTTTGTTGTGAATCTAAAAGAAAGCAAACAACAAGGAGTCATATTTATAGCTTTTAATCAGATTTTTTTTCCCTTTTCAACCCACCTCCAGCCAAATGTTGATTACTAGCCTTTGTGCTCTCCAACTCATCGGGTGGATCAACGAAATTTTCTGGTCTTGGACATGGCCATGTATTTGATCTGGCTCTTGTCTGCGGCTCAAAACCACCATCATGTAATTCTGCTACTAAATCCATTTGCAGAGCATTATTATCTGTACGTGACGTTGGCGTTGGCCAATCATGGGCAAAGCCGTCCATTATAATGGCGTATGGATCGTTTAATAGTTGCAGTTTTGCGCTTTTTATTAAAACGTTTTTTGAGAAAAAAAAAGTTTTATGTTCAATCAATTGTAGTTGTAGTTAGGTTTTTTTCCACTCTAGTTCTCCGATCTATTTACAAATAAACGATATTTTCTAATCGCACTGCAAAGAGAGAAAGAGAGAGTGAGAAAAAAATGTTAAGGAAATAATTATAATTTAAGTGTTTAATGGGTTGTTATTATTGCTAATAATAATTATAACACTTTGTTATTATTTATAACATTAAATCAATAAGTAGAAGTTATTTATAAATTTATTAGATAATTTAAGAACTACAGAAGTACGATCACCAAACAGTTATTGTTTGGTGGTGATCGATCTAACTTATTATTTAAAATTCATTTGTGCAGCTTTAACCAAATAGTTATGTATATTTTGTTAATGCAAAGTCCCGTTAAAAATTTACCGCCTCTAACCTGACACACGAGTGATCGAATGTGTTTGAAGGTGTACAACTAGTGATCTTATGTTCATGTGCTCATGAGCTCTCTGCCGATTTCTGTTCTGCAACTAAAAGTGTTTTAATCGAACATTTTCGGTTCGGTTGGAACACTGACGTCTTTGTTGGTCTATAACAAGTCTAGAAGCAATAAAGCTCTCTGCCGATATCTGATTTGCTAGCAATTCCAACCAAACCATTCCAAACTGAATATCAAAATCAAACAATTTTCAAACGATTTTTTTTTATTCAGAGAAAATACTTAGACTTTTAGAAAATATATATAAAATATTTTCTTTTTAAATTATTTATCAATTTCCGTTTTCCTTTAATATAATTCATTAATTTCATTAGCTAATAAATATTACGAAAATATTTTATCTTTATTTTGAAATGGTATGCGATAATTAGTTCTAAAGAATTAGAGAAATATATCAAGGTCAGGGTCAAAATTCTTATAATTTAATAATTAATATAAAATAAAATAAATAAATCAATTAAAGTTATGGAAAAAAGGAAATTGAAAAATAATTTCTTAAGAAAATATTTTATATATTTTTCCTAAAAATCTAATTATTTTCTTGGAATGCCAAAAAAACAATAATTCTAGTTAAAATAAATAAAACAATAAAATTTTAAAATAATAATAAAAAAATTCCAAAAAATCCGGGTGAGCTAAAATAGATGTTAAATTTCATCAGATTTTTTAAAAAAAATTTTATTTCAAAAACTTTTTTAACAAAAAAATTACATTATTTTCTTCAAAAGACGTCGTTTTGTCTACTGCCCAAAAATTAAAAAATCAAAAACAGCTCATATCTAAGAAAACATAGTCTCCAGACAGACATTTCTTTATAATACCAGTACCTACTTACTGACTGATGAACTTTATAGTAAAAGCATTCCATTTAAAACATATATACATATATTTTTTTGATAATATTCTAGGTCTTTTTTGGTTTATTTTTGTTTCTTATCTATCGTTTGCATTATAAAATTTAAAATATACTTATATTATAGTATTTTCATGATTATTAAATGGCATATTAATTTACGGAATTTATTTACACAATTTATTGGCAGCTCAATGACCTATAATACATATGCATGTGTGTCTGTATGTACATATTTTACGAGTAATTGTTTGAAAAATTATTTAAATCTATAATATTTGAAATACTACAACATTTAGTAAATTCTAAATGAATATTTTCAATTTGCTTATTAATTATACGATTAACGCTAACAATAATAAATAATATGCATTCTAATATTATTAATACTAATGTTCTATATATAATAGAATTTTAACATTGAACAATTTTTTTTTATTAATATAAATTTTAAATTTACTCAAGTATTTAACATTCTGTATAGTTAGTAAAATATTATTATAGATTTCTATTGCTAAATTTATTGTAATTTTATTTCCCGTTTTATTTTAATGGAAAATTTTGTTTTATTTTATTTAGTTTCGAATAGTTTGTGTGGGGGCTGTAAATTTATACTATTTCTCTTAATAATTTACCTTAATTTGATAACACGTTAGAAACGTGCTTTAGAACTGTTATTAGATTTTATCAAATTATGTGAGTTCGTTATCACCAGACATTTTGGGACAAACAAAAATATTCCCCGAATTTTAAATGTGCCAAATTCTCTTCACACCCCCTGTAGTTGAATTAATTTTTTGTCATTATTTTGTTTATAACTTTCTCCAGTTTGGTTATAAATTTTGTAGTTAAGATTAATATTTTGGGAGATATTTTTTGTCTCAGTCATATCTCACGTAATTTCTGCCGTTTTAAGTCAGATCCTAAAAAGTATATTTAAGTATTCTGAATACTTAAATTAAGAATTCTTATTTCTGAATGGTTATGTGTACGAAACTGATAAAAATAAGAGGTCGCTACAGCTGTTCAGTTCTAGTTTAGTTCTAGTTCAGTTCTTGTTCAGTTCTAGTTCAGTTCTAGTTCAGTTCTAGTTCAGTTCTAGTTCAGTTCTAGTTCAGTTCTAGTTCAGTTCTAGTTCAGTTCTAGTTCAGTTCTAGTTCAGTTCTAGTTCAGTTCTAGTTCAGTTCTAGTTCAGTTCTAGTTCAGTTCTAGTTCAGTTCTAGTTCAGTTCTAGTTCAGTTCTAGTTCAGTTCTAGTTCAGTTCTAGTTCAGTTCTAGTTCAGTTCTAGTTCAGTTCTAGTTCAGTTCTAGTTCAGTTCTAGTTCAGTTCTAGTTCAGTTCTAGTTCAGTTCTAGTTCAGTTCTAGTTCAGTTCTAGTTCAGTTCTAGTTCAGTTCTAGTTCAGTTCTAGTTCAGTTCTAGTTCAGTTCTAGTTCAGTTCTAGTTCAGTTCTAGTTCAGTTCTAGTTCAGTTCTAGTTCAGTTCTAGTTCAGTTCTAGTTCAGTTCTAGTTCAGTTCTAGTTCAGTTCTAGTTCAGTTCTAGTTCAGTTCTAGTTCAGTTCTAGTTCAGTTCTAGTTCAGTTCTAGTTCAGTTCTAGTTCAGTTCTAGTTCAGTTCTAGTTCAGTTCTAGTTCAGTTCTAGTTCAGTTCTAGTTCAGTTCTAGTTCAGTTCTAGTTCAGTTCTAGTTCAGTTCTAGTTCAGTTCTAGTTCAGTTCTAGTTCAGTTCTAGTTCAGTTCTAGTTCAGTTCTAGTTCAGTTCTAGTTCAGTTCTAGTTCAGTTCTAGTTCAGTTCTAGTTCAGTTCTAGTTCAGTTCTAGTTCTAGTTCAGTTCTAGTTCAGTTCTAGTTCAGTTCAAGTTCATTTCTAGTTTTAGTTCAGTTCTAGTTTAGTTCCAATTCAGTTCTAGCAAATGAAAAATTTTGTACTAGGTCGTTTTAAATTATTCCTTTTAAATGACGATTAATGTAAAATTCTTATTTTAATAACTTTTAATAACAAATTAATATGTTATTAAAAACATTTAATTACATAATTTACAAAATTATTCAATTAACAATTTAGTTAAAGAAGTAATATATTTCTTATTTATGCAATGAATATATAAGAATCGGGGTGTTAAATTATATTTAAAATAAAACCTTTACTAGAATTACGAGCAAAATGTGCCAAGTTTTGAAATACTTTTGCAAAGAAGGTTTAAAACAAATTCTAAAAACAAACACAAATTATGCGTCTTTTTATTGTTGATGTTTTGTTTTGCTAAGAAATATACCTATTTTTCACTGGATTTAAATACGTATTTAAAAAATTTATTTTTAGAAAAAAAATTTAAAAACATTTATAAAATTGATGATTCAAATTTGTTGTGTTTTATTTCTTTATTTCTTTAATTTATTTTCAAGTTCAAATATTTCACATAAATTTATTAAGAAAAATGAATGGCACGTGTTGAGACAAATACATAGATGATGCATTTGAATCTTTACAAAATGAAAATGACAATCATTTAAGATGTTAGGTGTGAATTTGTGTTGTTATTTTGACAAATCGATTTTAGTTAGTGAATGAAATAAGATTTAAAGATTAAAATAACTTTACTTTAACTATGAATTTTTTTTATTAAAAATTTGCTTTATTTTTTTCTTTATTGATGCTTTTAATAATATCATCTTTATATTTTAAATTGCAGGTTTTATTAAATATACATTTTAAAATATTTTATAGTAAGTATTTTACACAGTGTGTTGGGAAAATAAATGTACATTTTTCAAACGTATGCACAGGCTGTAAAAAAATAAAGCAAATCTGAATCTCTAAAAATATTCTAGTTTGCGAAACTTTTCAGTTAAATTTGAATGGATTTCATATTTGTACATTTATTTTTCGTTTACCCTGTTTCTAAGTAAAGCGCCACAATGACGAGTAAAAGGCTATATAAAGAAAAAGAACCACAAACAATTGTTGCCACAACAATGTTTATAGGTGATGATATTTCTTGCATCAGTTGATAGAATCGTAGATATTTAGACATTTTTCTATTCATACGTAATGCCAAAATAAATATGAACTTATAGAAAATGGTAAGACTATTTTTTTAAATAACTCATAGCAACATTTGGCAATAGTGATCGTGCATCGATTCAAATGTTGATGTAGCAAAAGCGGTTGCATTAGTATTGCAAATCGTGGCAATATATAATTGGGTAACTGAGTAAAATAAAGTCTAAGTTTGACACTAAATCTGCTAAATAATTTCACTATTAAAACTAATAGTATACATTTTAGCACCTGTTAACCATTTTTTCGTAAATTATGAAAAAAAGATCGTTTCAAAAATTTTAAATATTTCAATAAATTCAAAAAAAACTGCTTCTATAAACTTTTAAAATTTTGCATAATTGTAGCTGATCATCAAACATACACATTTATCTGCATGCAACTTAACTCAACTCCAACACAACCCATAAATGACCACAATTACCGCATTTAAATTTTTTCCATTTATTAAATTCATTTAAAAAGACTAGTCACGATATCAATTCCATTGCCTCCATATAAAATATTAAAATTAAAAGAGTCAAACCAACAAAAACAACAACATGTTTGAATATAAATTCCGAAAAAAATTCAACAAAAAAAATAAATAATTATGACATAAGATATAGATATAAAAAAAACGCCAGAAAAAAAGTAAAATAAAAAGATCAAATTATTTATATTTTTTTTATAACAAGTGAATAAGAAATGAATTTTGTATGAATTTATGAATG